AACTTTAGTTTTAGCTCAGCCTAGAAGTCTTATATCATTAAATATTAGAGAAACATTAGAAATAAAACAAAAACAAATATTAAATAGAGATGAAGGACCCACAATTCAATACATTGATATATGGCAAGATACATTATAATATATATATGTATAAATAACAATGAAGTAATGTGACAAGGGGGAAAGTATAAAATAGTCTTGTAAGTTACTCCTGAGGATGACGTAGATCACGTCGAAACATGTACTTGTAGAGAGAGATTTTATAGTGGAAGTTGTACGGCTTCAATAAAGTTTTTAGTGTGTAAATATAAAACGTTTTTAATTGTTTATTATAATTACAAATAAAAAAGGATATGTATATTTGTTTAAGTAGGTTTGGTTTGAAGTTTAGTGGTATGCAATTGTAAATATTTGTATGTGCTAGACTTCTGCAGCTCAGAATTTTTTGGAAATTGACTGGCTCCATAAAATCTACGTGGAAAGTTTGTCTAACAGTAAAATGAATGATATGAAAATGAACAAAAACTACTTATCTAACAGTCAAAATGGAATGGTAAAACTTATCCTGGATGTTGTTCAATGTGAATTCCACACCTCTTCTAAGTAAGAACTTGTATTTCCCTGAAAATGACATCAGTGTTATTCTGTGTAGTTTCATCTACTTGAATTTATTTTTACTCTTATAAGAAATGGCACTACATGGGAAAAATTTACGTGAAGTAAATATGGCAATATCCTTTGTTATTGGAGAGGAACTTTTTATCTGTTAAACATATATTTTTAAACATTACCTTTAGTATACTTAAATAAATAAATGCTGATTGGAATAAGTTATCTATTGTTTTAGATAAAGAATTGTAACTGTTTTTTATTTATTGTTGTTGTTTTTTAATGTGAGTCTGAAGGAAAAAAGTTAATTTCATCTAAATTTTGCACATCCTGTTTTTCAACAATTAAGTGAATGAATTGGCAAAGACTTTTTTTTATTAGTCATGTTTTGTGTTTTTTATCAGCCTTTGTGTGAAGATTTCATGGCTGGGTTGAAGTGTCTGCCTATAGAAAATACTTTTAAAATATAACCAAATTATTGAACAGATCAAGAACAATTATTCAGTAAAGTTACTCAATCAGCTTTATTAGTAGAGTTAGCCATTGAGACAATTACAATTTCAGAGCTAAGTTACATATAGTAGATACTGTTGTAACAGCTCCTTCTTTTGACCAATTAGCTTAATGCTGTTTCATAAAGAGTTGGGAACTAATGTATGTTACATTAGGTAGATAAAGGATGTGAGAACTGCTCAAATCCTTTATCTACCTAATGTAACATACATTAGTTCCCAACATCTACCTAATGTAACATACATTAATTCCCAACTTTGAGCAGTTCTCACAAATACATCTGAGAACTGCTCAAAGCAAACATCTGAGGAAACATTACTTTGGTAGAGAATTGCAAATTAGTCACTAAGAGCAAAACCTTCATTTCCATTTTGCTCTCAGCAATGTTGTACATCATTTACAGTTTAAAGTAGTTCTGCGTGGGATGTAGGTCATAATAATACATTAATTTATAGAATTTATCAAATGAAAATATAAAACTCAAAAGTAACCATATTTGTTCAGTTTTCAGAAATTAGCAAAAGAGTATGCTTTTGGTTTATGTTTCAGTCTACAGATTTAAAAAAGGTATGAATTAAGCCTCTAAAACATAAATGTTCTTTTGTTTAATCATATATAAATACCATTTAAATACTTCTTCCTCTTTATTTAGTTTTTTATAATTTTCATGTTAAATAAGGCTGATGCATTTTATTAGCTGCATGGAAACAGTAATTAACTTTAATTATAATTTCTACTAGCTGAAAGTACCTGTTAAGGAAGCAAACACTGTGTAAAAGACAATATTAGATAATGTTTCCTTTCCTTCTTTCTTTTGTTATTAAATCTTTAATAACCTTATTATATGCTACTTGCACACTTTCCTTGTGGAAGTTAATAATTAACTCATATAACTGATTAAGTACTTGTGCCTTTAAATTCAGAGTCATAAGTCTGTAAAAAAGTGGAAGTTCACTCTATGTCAGAGTATTTTTTATCCCCCTTTTTTGGGCAAAAAATTCTAAAATAAAATAACCCACATACATCATTGGATAGTTTTCAGTTACCATACAAAAAATTATGGTAATCAAGTCAGCCGTCTGTGGGTGATGGAAGCTGACATACACATAATGAATCATCTTTATGGTAAGATGTTTGTCAAGAATGAGTTAAGCCTTATGCCATGTATGTAAGTAGCAACATTTTTTCAGCAAAAGTATTTGGAATAATATATTTTTTAATGAAATTTTTGTTACTGTTCTTGAAAAGTTGAGAAAACATTTATGAAAGGACTACCTGGTTATATAAATGCAAAACTTTATTGCCTTTCTGAGTATTTGAAGTTGTAGAAAGTGTGTTAGATGTAGTGGTTGGACTAAGTTTGTTAAGAAATGTTTTCTGTCTTTGTTTCCAATCGTTAAAGTTAAACTAAATGCTCAATTTGAATATCACTTTATAGAATGAATCTAATTCTAGTCAACTTTACTGAGGATGGAATTCTAGTATTAAAATTGTTTCACTTTTTTTAGTACTGATGATTTTTTTATTTCAAAAAAATGTTTTTATGCAGAAGATAGTTTTTCTGACACAGAAGAAGAAACACAGAATAGCAAGGCTCATGAGCCTAAAGAAGAGCAGTGGAAAAAGGAAAAGGTAATGAAACTTGCTTGGTTTTTGTACTTTTATAGTGAGATTAGTGGAAGAAACATATTTCGTTTAATAACTGTTTTTTTGAGATTATCTGTGTGATATTTTTGGGTACACCCAAATTCTTATAAGTATCAGATAGGCAAACCTACAAATAACATCAGATTCGTTCAAGAAATAAGAGAAGTGATATTTCAACAATCAAAATGATAGTCCTTTCTACTAGGCTGTGTTTAGCTCAACACTTAATCTCCATAGAACTAAAACACATTGTACTTGAAATAAGTCTTTACTTGATGATCTCCTAGTAAAAATTGGCTGAAAAAAAGCATGCCTGAAATCAACAGATAAGCTCACTTTCTTTGACTAGTCAAAAGTATCACTTTGCTACTATTGTTCCCACACAATGCTGATTGTCTGTTACATTTAGTCACTATCATAAATAGCCAGTAAAGGATATTACAGTGCCAATCCTTTAAATCCAGATGCTATATGTTACTGCAGTATCTTTTTGGGCAGGAGAGACATAATCTATTATAGAGAACAAGAAACAAAGCAACTATAAAAACAGTAATAATAAGGACTTTCTGAGCCACGTGTTGATGCCATTACAGCATGGAAACTAAATAACCAAAAATAGATCTCTTGGTAGAGATCTGTCCACAAGATTTTAAGCTTGAGATTATCCTGTCATCAGACCATAATCCACAGTCCTGCTATTATACTGTTGCATATCTGCTTATTTGTTAATTTCTGGTATAAATTCTTTCTGAGATACTTCAGCGATACAAGTCCTTTCTTGATTAACCCAGCTTATTCTTCCTCGATACAAACTTTTAGTAATACACAGAATTTCCACAGTCACTTTAAACTTAACAACTTTTATAACACACGATATAAATCACAGTGATTCACACACTTTACTTACAGTGCTTACTGTTCGCTTGACTCAATTTTTCTCGCCAGGCTTAAATATTAAAAAAAAGGTATCTCGATCAGACTAGAGTTGCCAGGCAAATTCATAATCCATCGAGAAACTCCAGCGCTCATGCTCCCAGCATCGCGTGACTTCCACTGTTGTAAAAATATCTTACACTACTGTCTTGCCCTTAGATTTTAAGATCAAATCATGCTTTCAGACTTTATGCCTGTAGAGAATGTTAAGTCTGTAAAATCTCACATAACCTTATTCTAGTATTTTATTATTAAATATTAAATCCCCAAATAAATCTTACAAGATTCTTATCCCTTAAAAATCAATATAAACTAATAAAAAACAATGAAATTATATTTTAATTTCTGACTTCATTCTACTTCAGCTTTATGAGAAGTTTATTTCTTGCATATGTGATATGCAAGCATATAATGTCTTCTATTTGCTCTAGTGATACGGAAATTAAAAAACATAAATCGAAAGTGGGAATTTAGCATGAGATCTGAAGGCATCACTACAGAGGACTGGACTGTAGCTTAAAATATGAGGCTGGTACTAAAAGATTTTAGAAAGAAATTAATTGAATTAAATAAAATTGAAAAATCCCAAAAATATTATTTATATTAACAGAAAATTAGTATTAAGTTGCTTACATTCTTACCTATAATGTTTAGAATGCATTATTTTATCAGTTGAGTACCCTTGCTGTTAACAACATTTTTTGCTATGAACCCATTAATATCTTGTGAGATTTGGTCAGCTTTGGAGATTTAAATTAGTCCTAAATTCATATACTAGGCAAATGCAAATCTATCTATAGTAAAAGTATAGTAATACAAAATAATAAAACAAGATATAGTAAACAATCAATGTTTTAGTCTCAAATCACTTAATTTTCTCTTTACATTCAGTGGAATTACTGATAATAATGAATGGATTAATACTGGTTCTCTCTTTGATAATATTACAGTATTTATTTAAATGCTCTTTAATGTATTTCAGACCATTAAATATTAAAATTAACAAATCCTATTTCATAGCTTTTTAGCCTCAGCAATAAACCTGTATTTTTAAGGTGTTTTGTGTAATTTGAGGATCCAAAGTAATTTACAATTACATTATAAGAATTACACCAAAATCTGATAAAACTGTAATATGTTTCTAGTTTGACTGTATGTTTTATCAGCGTGATGAATGCAGAAAGCTTCTTTTATCTTCCTTTTTCTTGAGTGTGGTTCATGTACTGTTATTTTAGTACTGTTTCAGTTTATCTTATGGTCTTCTCTGAAATAATGGGTTATGTAGATATATTGATATTACCAACTATTGTATGAGTAGTATAATCCTACAATGTGTTAAAATATACATTCACAGAAGATGTAAACTTTTTTCCTCTTCATTGGGTCTTTAGGTGATTTGTTGTGTACTGACTGAGATCATTTTGTGTTGTTAACATATCCTCTATGTTTTCAGAGAGACATTTCACATATGGTAATATGGCTGTATTTTGATAAGTTTTTGTGTTTGTCTTTTTTATTTTTTCCTATCAAGTGTTTCAGATATGATTCATAGTTAACAAAGATTGTAGTGATTGTTTTCCTTCTTAATAGCTTCTTTGGTATTACAAATCTTATTCTTTCTGGAAAATGAGCAGTTTATATTATCTAATTTCTTACTGTTGAAAGGGTTTGATTTATAGAATCTTAGTCACTATCAACACAGAAATAGTCCTTCTCAGGACTTCCATAAAAACAGCAGCAAGCCCTTGGTGGTAAGCTTGAAGCCTTATATGCTAAACATCAGAGCTCAATAACAGATAGCCCAGTGTGTAGCTTTGCACTTCATAAAAACAAAGACAAAACATCAGCAGGTTCTGAGTCTTAAGATAAGATAAAACTATTTAATAATTAGAATTTGGTTATTTATACGTATATCAAGACACACGGTAGTGTGTGTCTTGTGGCCAAAAAAACAACCTGTAGAACACATTGTTATTAAGAAGAGTGATAGTTTAGAGATTTTCCACACTGTGTAGCTTGGACTGTGGTAATTCAAACTATCACATATTTTCATGGATGTGCTCTACTGAACTCTTACGTTGCATACTAAATTTCAAGGCAGTCCATTAAGAAATACCTGAGATATAACATCTCCAATTTTGATTGAGTTTCTTTTTTTTTTTCTTCTTTGCACCAAAAGTACAGAAAATTTATTTGATGGAAGAACATACTTAACTTTTATGGATTTTTTTCAAATTTGTTACACTGATAGATCGTTACAACCTACAATTATTAGTCTCATTTGATGTAAATATAAGGCACATGTGCAAAGTTATTTAACAAAAACTCTCAGTTTTGACCAAACTTTTTGCACACACTTACACAAAAATTCACGTGACCTATTGTTATAACATTTTTACTACAGCTTCATCTAAGAGTAAAAGTAGACTGCGTGTAGTTTTTTTGTCATTTGGATCATAGATGGCTGACTTAGAGCAGCAAAACTATAAGGTAAAAGGATGTGCAGATTCATAAGTATTGGTTAGGCTAAGCAAATTATATTAGCAGTTTCTAGTTCAAGTTTTCAAAAGAATCATACGGGTGGACGGTTATTATTGATTATTCATTGCCAACTTTTCAGCACAAATTTACTAAATTTTATGAAATTATCCTAATTAAAGAGCATTTAAAAAGATGGCATGGGAATTATTGGAGTCACAAAAACCTACTTTTTTAGCTAATTGTAACAGATCTGGTGGGTTTTTTGGGCTAGATATAATTTATTTCATTGAATAACACATTCACAAAATTATTTGAATTGATAATTCATTTGGGGAAAACAAAAAGATATTCCATTTAAAC